AGTGGATTGAAGGGAGAAAGGAGCATCGTATCATAACAGCCAGGGAAAAGCATTCGCTACTGCCCACAGCGCAGCGGAGTTGCTCAGCGCTGCCCCAAAGCTGTCCGGGCTGCCCGGACAAAAGCACAGAGTACGATACCCAAAAGAAAGTCTGCTGCAAGGCATCTGTTTGCCAGACCGGCTGCTTTTAGTACTACTGAGCGCAGTATTTAAAGTTAAATTTTTACGTATCCCAGAAAAGGGGTTCATTCACCTCCCTTGCTGAACCCCCAGAACTTTAAGATCCTTCCCTGTACTGTAAAATCATCTGCCTCCTAAGAAAAAATCCCCATAACGCAGGACCCAGTATGACAGAGAAACCTTCAGCATTATTTTAAATCTTTACTGATTACAAAACAAAGCAGATGGCAAATCAAGTCATGAACTCGGCATCTGCCATGCTTAATGAACAGTTTAATTACCTCGTCCCATTTCTGATGCATCTCTGCCATTCTGGGCTCCGGGAGTCACTCACATACTTCGCACTGACTCTCGCGAAGATATCTCAGGGAACACGGCTGGATGAAGAGTCAGCTGGAGTTGCTTAATCAATACTTGTTTAATCACCAACTTTTATGGTGATGGCCTAAATTATGTCTCAATAGAAACAGATTTCCTATCAGATCGCGTGAGCTGGTTGAACGCTCAGAAAACAAAATGGAATTTTTCAGCCGCTTCTCCGGGCAGCGGAGTACCCAAAGGCAGACAAATGCACAGACGGGGAACAAACACAGCAAAACAACAACATCCAGTACAATCAGATTAATTCATTTGCTGCGTTGTGCCTTATAGGAGAGCAAGGGATGCAATTAGGACAGTGTACATCCACGAAGTCTACAATTTGAGAAGCAAATTGGACTCATTTGGGATAAGTTAGAAGAAGTAAACGCAATTGCACTTCGCGTTCTGAGCTCTTGTGTATGCAGAGAGGCAAGAGGCTCCCGCGAAGGAAGGAGCGTGCGCCGGCTGCGCGCAAGCGGGGCAGTGGGTCTCCGGTCAAATCCACTGCCTGCGCTACAGGCTGCTCCTGCTCGTTGGGCAGCTGCGTGCAGCTCTGTCCACCGGCCCTGGGCACAGAAGAAAAAAATGTTTCAAGGAGTCGCTGAAGCACAGGAGAAGAGGCTGGAGGGTCTGAACCCCAACAGCAGCTGAACAACGCATGTAGCTAAGGGCTGAGTGCCACCGGGTAAAATCCCACGAGGAGAGGAGGAGGTGACAACCCTAAAAAGATCCATGCAAGCCAACTTCTGGCCCTCCCCATCAGCAGGCTTTGGGAATCCTTCAGCGTGCCTTTCTTGCTTGTCTCCAGCCTCACTTCTCCTGCACAAGGTCCATTTGTGCATCCCGAAAGCTGCCCTCCTGTAACAAACAGACTTTCTTTCCATTAAATACTGGCTCGATCAGCTGCTTGCACTCAGATAAGGCATTTCAGAATGGGTTTTGCATTTTGGGAGACCTACATGTCATATAAAATTTCCTGAGAGACTCAAATTTCAGCCATCCAGTAGCAGAATTGATTGTTTTTAACAAGCCTCCTTCATAAACAAATACCAGGAGTTGTGTGCAAAGCTCTCCGAAAAAGAGAAATACTCACAGAGCTTGAGGACAACACAAAAGTCAAATACAAAACTGTGTAGGTAAACATGGCATTCAAAGGCACTACTACAACAAATCAAACAGGAAAAAGGGCAGAGGTGGACAAGGTCTTCCCCAGCTTTTCAGATATCTCTCGCTACACCTGCATCGGAACTACCTCGGGTAATAAAGCAAAGATTAAAGACTTCCCTAAAACTTTGAGCGAAGCCAAAGGAAAAAGACAGCACAGCAGCCAGCGAACCCAGCCACGCGGATCTCTAAAAGAGCGAGTGGGAGTACATCCCTTCAAACATCAGTTTGAGTGACTCTCCAGGAGATACCTTCAAGCCCTCAATGTCTGAAAACCTCAAGGGCGTCCAAATCTAATGTTTCACTGACAACATGTAGATCAGAAAACTTAAGTACTGCCCTGATTTACAAGGACATATGGGAGAAAGTAATCAGCTAACGTGTTCTAAACAGCAGTTTGTCAAGAGGAATACCCAGGTCGCAGCTCCCGTGCCAGCCCGCTGGCAGAGACGGCATCGGTTGGGCTGGACCACTGCACGAGTATGTCAAAGACTGGAGACCGCTGTTCTTCACGTCTGCCAGGGAAGAGGGGTTTGTAGTGACTCACCGAACTATCCTACACTGACAATCGCGCCACGTCCAAAGAGTAAACCAACTGGAAAGGCCCCAGTAAGGTCAAGAAAGCCCAAAAGAAGTAAATGAGGCGAGGAAGTAAGCAATGGAGGGAGAAGTTAAATGCACTGAAATGGAAATATGAGAGCAACCAAGAAAGGACAGAGACTGTGGCAAGTAGAAAATGAACAAGCCTGAGCAAGTGAGACAGGCAATCTCTGAAAGCCAAAAAATATTGTATGAATCTCCAGGAAGAAAATGCAATAGCCATCAAAGTAAGCTGAGAAGGAATGAGATCGGCAAAGCAAGTACCTCATGAAGAGGGTATGTTTAGTACTAAAATATTAGGTATTACTGTTATCAAATTAAGAACAGCTTATCGTTTTCTATTGATCTTTTCAAGCATATTCAAGACCTGAGACTTTTAGGTTACAATTTGAGCCCAAAGAAAGGAGAGCTGTTACTGCATTAAACTTGCACTGTCAAACACGCCTGATGCCTGTCAGCCCTTACTTGCTCAGCGTACAGGACCAGATTCTCTGCCCTGCTACGGGGTCAAATATACACAAATGCAAAAATCACACTATCAAAAGCAATAGCAATTCAATCATATATATAATTGTCTCCCCCAAATTAGATTTTCACAGTCCTATTTAACAAGACAAAGATTCAATAGAGAGAGCTCATCTTTTCTATTCTCAAATTACATAGAAGCACACTGTATTACTGATGCCACTAATTAGATGATTAAATACCATTCTAGGTGATATGCTTTCAGTGTAAAATAATTATTTTTAACAGGCAGTATATTTGCTCAATCTCATTTTAAATCACAATATCATACTTTTTTAATTAAATGAAATTCCTTCTTCTGATTTTGCATGAGAAGAGCAACCAGTAGGAGACACAGTGCCAAGGATAGATTGCCCAAGTACCATAAAGAATCTACTTTTCACAAAGGACCCCGAGCATTCCCTGGATGGAATATAAATTTTCAGAGAACAGCAAAGTCTTTATTCCTTTAAAATAGGAATAAAGAAAAAAAAATCCTCCAGTGGAGGAATCATTGACTACACTGAAAACTTCCACTGTCAAAACACAAGTTTATTTGCCATACTCTGGATGAAGGACATTTCCAACTTTTCCTCTACTCCTCTTCAGGGGGAGGACAGCAAACAAAGCAAAGGCTCTGTCTTTCTCTATAAATTAGGGTACAATCCATCACATGACAAAGCACTGTTGTCTTTTTGTCCAGTACTTAGAGAAAAGTAATGATATTTTGTGTTCTATGACAAAACACGTTTCTGCTGAGGACTGGAAATAAGTTAACAAAGGGAATAGTTTAGAAACCATCTGAGAAACTCCCTTTGGGGCTGAGCAGCCCAGCGCAATGCTAGCCAGCTGACAAGGTTGGAAAGGAGGGATTTTTATCGGGTTCAGTATCCACCTGTGGCCTACCCAGCCATGCCAGTACAGACCAGAAGGGTACGGAGGGCTGGCTGCCGCGGGGGGTAGTAGAAAGACGCCTTTTCTGCTTCCATGGAGAGGGTTTGGTCCACCCGCCCTGACTGCAGTGCCTGCCTCAGCGCGAAGCAGAAAAAACTGACGTAATTTTTCTCTTCTCACTGATGTGACTCTCCAAGGCATCAGATTCTCCAGCCTGAAGACCTGACAGAATATCCTCTTGTAAAGCAGCTGCTTCATGCTTCAAGAAGCCCCGCTTACTGCACCATACATCACAGACTCTTTGGCTTAACGACACGGAATTACAAAGAGCTGGGTGCAGCACAATTAAAACCGATCAAAACGCTTTAGCCGACACTGAAAATTAAAGCCTAAAGCACGAGAAACAGAACAGCTCCCTTCCCCCCTGCTCACGCACTCCCGGAACCAGCATCTTTCCTCCCCGTACACCGCGCTGCGCCTGGCTCCCTCTCACTCGACGCTGACCCTACGCACACACAGAAGCTTACGTAGGTGAGGAGCTTTATAACGGCTGGGAGATTGCTCAGTTGAGGGAAGTGCTGTGAGGAGTATTCTCGGGAAGTGAAGTACCTATCGTTCTGACTACAGAGAATTATTATTCCCTGTGGGTAAAGAGCGCTCTCAGAATTTAATATAAAGTTTTCAATTCTCTACAGACTTCAAAATTATTGTATGGAATTTCATCACAAGAGCATACCCGATATAGGATAATGCAGACTTCTTTGATATATCCTATAGAAAGAATCTTAAAACGTATTTTCAATTTACTGGTCTAGTGCCTACCATTACGTTCGAACAGACTTTCAGCATAAGAGGAAAGCGAATCTCTTACTCTCTGTAAATTGTTTTTCCACAGGAACAGTTGACAAGGTGCTGTCGTTTCACTCTCTTTCGGGAAGGAGGCGATGCAGCCAAAGCCATTATAAACTCCCTTCAGTGGCTCAAAACACTCTAGCGACAACATGATTCAATTCTCTGCCCTCACACAAATGCCAAGCCTGAGATGAAGCTACGTATCGCCAACACAGCGTGAGCCCAGAGGGGGGAACACCAGCAGAGCCTTAGGATGTACGAGTACTTTCATTCTAACGCAGCCCTAAAGACAACTTTCATGACTCTTATAGCACCCGCTGCACAAAGACCCCACAGCAACTCTGTAGGACCAGTTACAGAGGTGAACGAAGAAGAAACAGCAGGGACTACACCGGGAGGGAAGAAATAAGGACATGGGCTTTTCCAAACATTATCTAGAAACTCACCTTGGTGAGCAGCAGGACACGTTTCTGCAGCCGTCTGACCAGTGCTTCGTGCTGCTCACGCTTCTTCTTCTCGTCCAAGAGTTGGCTCTGCACCCGTAGTATTTCTTCCTGTAGCTGCTGCCGGGCCTTCTCCAGTATTCGGGCACTAAAAAAGATAATACGGACCTGTGAAATCTTGGCCACTGCCTCTTAGTCAGATCAGAAGAACCTGAGAGAAGCATCACCATGATACCAGGACTGCGGGGCTGGTGCCATTTCATCTCACGGCTGCACCACTGGAAACTGAGTAGCTGTGGTCTCATTATCAGCTGTTCTCGGAAAGGGACATGAGAGAAGAACCATCCCAGTGACAGCCTTCTTGTGCAGCACAAGACAATTACTGGAACCACACGTATACAAAGCATTTAAATAACTGTATATCTATTTCAAAATCAACCAGTTTGCCTTTGAGAAGATGCCTTGTTTTCAACAAACGATGCACGATCTCGGGTTCTACTGTATCTTTTAATCTTTTCCTAACAAAGTAGAAGTAAAACTGAGGTTTAATATGATCTGCTTTGACAGATAGATAATACTCAGCAAGTAATTACAGCCACCACCTGCACATTGTGCTTGCCAGCAACCTATATTGGAAGCGAAGTATCGTCTGAGGCCAGGTGATTAGCACTTCTTCTGCCATGCGGACACAATTCTCAATTAAGCCAGAATAGCTTGGTCCCTCTTCTTCTCAGCTCTCTGTGCAGCATGACACGGTGACGCACAATTACTCCTGGAGATGTTCTTCATCATGCCCTTCAGGCACTCGGTCTGCTGCTGGGACACTAAGGGACATCTGTCCCAATGCACCCATCCAGCAGCTCATCACAGATCGAGTACGGTGGCAAAGTCCTCGATCAATAACAAAATAAGAGTGAAATAATTCTTGTGATTGTTAAGAGACAGTTCATAATTTAAGTATGACAAGTTTATCCAAGACGGCACTAACTTTAAGTATTTAAAGAGTGAGCAGGACAAGGAAAAAGTATTGCACGCAAGTCAAAACCCCCCAAGAAAGCTCAAAAGATCAAACCCAACATCTCCAGCTTACTCAGGAACAGAAGATCTTTGTTTCTCTGATGCTAAAAACAACACTGGAAAATGTATGAGTGCTTCAGAGGGGTATTCTTTATCATTATAATTAAAAGAAAATAAATAAAAATGCTTTTAAATAAAATAGCACTATTGCTAAAGTACTGTTTAGATAGTTCCAAAAGGGAACACCACCTTAAAAGACACTCGGCATAAATCAAGTACATCCTGCACTGCCAGGTCACCAAATTGTACTTCTTGGGAAATTTAGTTAGGAATTCACCAAAATCCCTAAGCAGCTGTCTCCCTACCTCAAAATCCTCCTCCTTGAGGAAAAACATGCATTTTTAAACACTGGATGAATCAGAAGCCCGTTTAAAGCTCCAGTTCAATTTTGAACTATTCACAGACCAATTTAATAATCAGGGACTGTGAAATAGTCTCTTCATTGTTGTATTCAGGTGGGAAAGTTCATCAAGAGAGCTTCAAATCTGCATTTGAAAATGGATAATTTCATTCCCAGGGCACCACTACTTCCTTGGTTCTGTTTTAATTAATCAGTTAGAAAGGGAGCCCGTGCCCAGGAGCAGCAGCTATGGAGATGGAACATGAGGCGGCGCCAGCCTTGCACTGGATGCTCCCTTCCCCATCCCAACTGCCGCAAACATCTCAAACTCAGTCTTGTGGCTACTTAACAGTAACACAAGCCTTTTCCTTATTGAACGATGCAAGAATTCCACGGGATAAAGTAGAGAATCAACTCTTGTCGTATTCTACAAAATAAATCCATATTAAAAACTTTCCTAGAAGCCAACATCCAAAGACGACAAATAGCACAAGCACATATATGTCACACACGTCACAAGCACATATATGTCACTCAAGAAGTGATGACTCGCAGCGTACAAACCCCACATCATTCAGAAGTTGCAGTTGCTGAATTCTAAAGCCACCCACGCTGCTCGCCAGCCCATCCTTTGGTTGGAGGTTACCACTTTGCAGTGTCACGAGCAAACTCAAACGCGTGCTCAGTTCACAAGAGAGCATCCCACACCCTAAACACCCCTTCGGGGGCAAGTCAGGCTGACAGTAACTTCCAGGAGACGGACGCAACTTGGGCGACATCACAAAATGTAACAGGAAGAGTCATCAAGAATTCGAGAACAGAAGAAAAAATGCAAACATAAGATTTAATACTGCAAACTAGCCAGAATCGGGCATTTGATTATTGCAAAACATTTTGCGAGGACAATGGAGACATCTTTTTTTCCTTAATCTTCCAATATTGTGACCTATTTCTATAAATTCTGAGTGGACTGATGGATTACGGTTGAGTTGACATTCGCAAAGAAAAATGAGGTATGTGCCAGGTTTCCTTCTTGAAATAATGAAAAATAGCTGAGATTCCCATCTCATGGACAGCACAGTCATTCAGACACCCCCCCCTCTCAAACTAGGTCGGAAAATTAGTGTTTTAAAACATGAGAAAAATTAGGCCAAGGGAGACAAATGGACAATTTCCTCAGCCATTGCATGGCGTTTGGAAAGAACACCATCGTCTGCCTATATTTCAGCCTCAGATCAAATGTGATACTAACGTAGACAAAATTCAAATGCCAGAGGAGTCTATGAAAGCAGAGACAATACTTAAATGCCCCAAACTGCTGCTGTCACCATCGGTTTCCTTGCTATAAGAAGTGTGAAATTCAACTTTCTAACAACTCTCCACACCATGCCAAAGCAAATTATTGAGATCGTTTCTTCCTCTCTTATGACAGATTGATAATTCTTCCAGAAACTGCACCAAATACAACATAAACCATCTCTGTAAGAAAAAAATCTAAAAAGAACGTTATATTCCTTATTGACACAAAACAGGATTGGGAAGTTAGACGTGGGCACTCTTCTTCCACACTGATGACACCTATGGCTTTTCAAAAGTAATTGCTCACTCAAAATGAGCATTACAAAAAATAAAATAAAATAGACCCAAAGTTCTCCATCCAATATAAGCTTGGAGAACTGGCATTTTTTTAAATCTTTGCAAGTTCAAAGTAAACCTTTTAAGCCTTAAAGAGAAAAAGTCATTTCTGTTTATCAGCCTATTAATGTTTCTTGTTCCACATCCCAGTGAATGAGATGCCAACATCTTTCTGTTCTGAGCTGTTGAGACTCTTCATATTTTGCTCTTCCCTTCTGTAATCCACTTTCATGTAATCTTAATGATAAAACTTCATTTTCCAGAATGTTCTTTGAAAGACTGAGAACAATGACGGCCAAGAGTGAATGCTGAAGCTGTAAGACACATTTTAATAATCTCCTTCAAAAAATTACAAAAGCAGCTGACAGCTTCCCCCCTCACCCCCCAGTGATCCATAAAACATTATTTTAATCATTCCATCCTTTCAGTAGCCAAGTTACCACCTCAGAGATACTAATAAAATAACAGGGAAAGCAAAGAGGATGCCAGAACCAGTCTGTGTATCTGCCTGAGAAGGAAACGAGAGGTCCACAGCGGCACAGAGACAATTAGAAGAACACCACTGTCTGGGTCATGTTGCAGCTCAGGAGATGAGACACTTGCACATTCCAGGGCCAACTGTCAGAAACGAGGATCGCATCAAAGAGAAAGCGCCGAAACGCAGGGATTGCAGATGGGAACAGCACTGAAGACGCGCAGAGGGAAAAGACGATGACAGTGCTATTGCACATATATAACAGAAAAAAAGAAACACGCTGCAGCTATCAACATCTTCATGACAGAGTCCAAAATAAAAAGGTTAGCACACAAGCTAATGAGGCAAAAAGGAGCAAGGGAAATTGTTTTGTAGCGAGACATTTGGATAAAGAAAAGCACATCCGTTCCTGAGGCTTGACAACGCGCAGCCTTTTCAACGTATCTTCACATTTATAGACAGCGCACACAAAGGTATAAACCACACTGGAAAGGATAAGCAGAGAGCTTGAACAAAAAATGTTCTTTTTCCTTCCAGTTCTTGTCCCCCAGCTTTTATAAGCCAACATGAAGGCATAAGTAGCAACAGGGTAACTCCCGCATGTCTTCATGTTGTCCAGCGGATGGTGGCAGAACGTCCCTGTCCTCAAGGCTCCGTCCAACCTCCAGTTTCTGGCACAGATTTCTTCCCCCCTCAGCCTCTGCCCAACCTGCCTCCACAGGAGCCACCACCGTCTGGACGGGAATTAAAACGGAAAACAGAAGGGAGAAGATGATGCCAAAAGTAGTGTGACTTAAAAAGAGACAGGACACAGGAAAGGAAAGGCAGAGCTTGGCGAAACAGAAAAATTGCCATCTTACATTAAAAAGGAAAAAAAACTGATCCACTATAAAATGCTGCTGCAAAGACGGATGGGAGCGCTGAGAACGCTGCTGCGGAGCGGAGCTGCCTAAAGTAATAAATTTAAGGTCAGGTAAACTAGAAAAACAAACATCAGGAAGGAGGAGATTGTTTTAGTGCTACAAGTATTTCAGCTTAAAAGCCAAAGGTTTGGGTGCTAACTTTTATTAAAATAAGTCTGTTTGGCACCTTATTCTCTTGCTTTCGTCCTCGCACGCAGAAGGGCGGATGTGGAGAAGCAGCAGCATCCATCCATCCCTGCGCTCAGCCACCGCGGCGCGCGAGCGGGAAGGCTGGAGCCCAGCGTCGCCACCTTAGCCGCTATTCCCTGACTACGTTTAGTAGGAGCAACGACACCAAATATTAACACCTTTAGTGGAATTCATCACACGGGCCATATTTTATTTAAAGCTTAACTGTGCCTTACAGAGAGCTGTATGAAATACCGCTACAGAAAATACTACCCGGAACAGTCTACGGAGCGTGAGTAGGAAACCAAGCTTTCTTGCTGTTTATTTCTCCCAAGTCTTCAGCAAACATCTGCAAACTTTCTCTTGGTTCACACTTTCTATTTTCTCAAAGACCGTTTATATAACTCACCATCATCAGGCCTCCATAAATCACAAATCGCTCAAAAATAAGCAGTTCATACGTCACGTTGCTGCTCTACATACAAGGAAGACTTGAATTATACTGAATTTATACTGAGGGAACAACATAA